AGATCAAGGGTACCCTCGTGTCCTGTGTCTTGCGACCCATGCCACCTGGATTTCTGTGGCAACGTGGTCCTCGGAAGGGTCTTGTGTCCTCTTGCGTGTCCTCTCCAATCAAGTCCGACTGTAATGAGGACGGGGCTGGAGACTTGGCTGCATGCGGTGCATCTGGCACTGCATCTGGTGCTGCGTGCTGAGCAGGTCGCTCACCACCTAGCGCTGCCTGTAGGCGAGCGCGTCCTGTTGCTGCTTGGTCTTCTGCTGGCGTCCGAGTTTTGTCCTTGGGCTTCTTCGACGCGGTGCTGGCAGCGTTGATGGCGGCAGACTTGATATTCTCCATGTCTTGGGTCCTGATCTTCACGATGTCCTGCTGCAGGTGGTTGACTTGTTTTCTGGAATTTCTTCATGGAGTCTATGAGCTGCGCATTATGTGATTGTAACGCTGCTAGCACTGCAGGCGTGGTGCATGCCTCAGCCGAGGGAGCTCCTCCAGGTGGTGCGACCTGCTGATGGAGCTGAGGTGGCTGAGGTACTGGCTGTGGGGCGGCGACGATTGTGCGGCCAGGAGGTGCTGACACGCTGTGCTGCCGACCTCGTCGCAACGGGGCGGCGTCCTCGTCGTCCGTCATGAGCACGTCACCTGCCTCATCAAATGCAAGTGTGCGGCGAGGTCCACGTAGCTCTCGTTGCTCTTGAGCTTCCTTCGACAGGTCATCGAAGTGTTCCAGTAGCTCCTCTGCTGCGGTGAGTTCCTGCTGTCGATATTCACATTGTGCTTGTGCCGCCTCCAGCTCTATTTCCAGGTCCGTGTATCTGGCATGAGCGTCTGCTAGGCGGCGCCTGCATCTGCTGACAAACTTGGTTTGCTTGGTCACTCTGGCCTGCGGGGACCCGGGGTGCATCATCTGACAGAGGAGCACGGAGTACTCCTCTTTGAGAGCATTGATTTGGTCGTGTGCCAAGTTCAGATCAGTGGCGCATCCGATTTGGCGTTCCATGCCATCCATGGTGTCACTGAGAGCACGCCTGTAGTCTCCCAACTACTGTGGGTCTGACGGGGGCTCCTGCCATCGCCTATGTGCCGTGGCAGCCTCAGGGCTGGTTGGCATAATCGGTAGCTGCCCATCGTGTTCAGATGGTGGCAATGCTACTGTGGTAGGCTGCAGGGAGGAAACTCTCGTTCCTAGCGGTCCTCTTGTACCGGGCGACGTACTCGGAGATGTCCAACTCTGCATTCCACTGCTAGCTGATGCTGAAGAAGATTGGTCTTGTCCATTACTTGGTTGACACTGTCGGCATTTCTTGGCTGCCCAAGGATTGGCGTATGAGCATGCTGAGAATTCCAACGTTGTCTTGTATCGATGTTGGTGACCTTCATAGTTCTGCTGCTGCCGTTGTCACGGAGGTCTCTGCTGATGCTGTTGACGGTTCGGTCTGCGAGATCGATCTCTGTATTCGAACATGTTCTCGAGCTTGTTGTCGTCCCTGTTGGCACTGTGGTGGTTGTTCAGCAGGTGAGTTGCTGTGGCCACTCTGATCAGGGTTCGGGCTCGACTGCGAGCTGCTCGATCCCTTCGGTGCCAGGACGGCTCTGCATAGGACACAGGGCAGGAGGAGGAGTAGGAGGAGGAGGAGTAGGAGGAGGAGGAGGAGTAGGAGGAGGAGGAGGAGGAGGAGGAGGAGGAGGAGGAGGAGGGGGAGGAGGGGGAGGAGGAGGAGGAGGAGGAGGGGGGGGAGGAGGAGGAGGAGGAGGAGGAGGAGGAGGAGGGAGGAGGAGGAGGAGAGGGGAGGAGGAGGAGGCGGAGGAGGGGAAGGCGGAGGAAGAGGAGGAGGAGGTGGTTTTCTGGTCGGGCCACGGCCGTAGTTTGTCCACGGTCGGCCCACGGCCCGCACTTTTGGGGCGAGCGCGAAGAGGGCCGCGCGCATGTGGCAGCTGTTCCTGCTGAGGCTCGCCGCTGCCTGCTAGCAGCTCCCAAACCACCCCAACCCAACCCGAAGGCTCAGATTTACCCTCGATTTCCAGTGGGGGGGTCGGGAAGCATCGAAAAAACACGCGTGGAACCCTTACCCCCCCAACCCGAAATTCGGGTCTTCGGATTGGGTTGGGGTGGTCTGGTAGGTAGTCAGAGCGGGGACGGCGGCTGGAGGAGGCGGAGGTCGATAGACCTCCTGCCCCGATAGGCCTCCTACCCTGACACGTCGATTAGCGAATTGGCCGTTTTCGGTTCGCGAGAGGGCGTCGCGGCCGTCGTTTTGCGGGTCCAGGTCCGTCGGTTTAGGTTCCAGGCCGGCTTCACTAAAGGGAGGTTTAGTAAAGGGAGGTTTGTCCACCGCCGAAGGAGACAGAGGGAGGAGGGAGGAGACGAGGGGAGGGCGGAGGGAGTGGCGTCGGTGTGTCTCGACCGCAATCTGTCCTGCCGCTATAAGATGCAGGCCTCCGTTGTGCGTAGGCCTCGGCCAGTATTTTGCCAGACTGGTCTTGATGGCGTCATCAACCTTCTACTCGTATTTTCCTACTGGTCGTTGCCTTTCTCCTACGTTTCCAGGTGCTTATCTCGGTAATCCTCCTCACCATCATTTCTCTGCGTAATACTCCCTCCCCTTCGGCTCACGCTTATCCTCCCCATCCTGCGTTGGATCCCATACTATCCTCCTCATCCTGCGCTATACCCCGCCATATCCCCTGTCATCCCCTCCTGCGCGATATCCCGTCTTGTCTCCCTCATCCTTTCTTTACGTGCGTCATCCCTCCTCCTCCTCCTCCTCCTCCTCCTCCTCCTCCTCCACTTCTTCCTGCAACATACTTCTTCGCATCCTCCATTTCATCCTCTTATTCCTATTGTGTTCGGAACAGTTCGGAGCAAGCTATCAAACAGCTGTCGGACATTTTGGAAGATATCGACAACTTGAATGTGTTGTCGTCCACCCTTGATCGCAGCGGGTTTTGAAATACGGTTCAGGGGTACCCGAACAATGGAATCAACACCTTCGTATCTCCCTTCAGTGCTCCCCCCAACACCTCTCTGATTTCTGCGTTCCTGCTTCCTCCCTCCCTCCCTCCCTCCCTCCCTCCATTCCTTTCCTCTATCCCGAGCGCTGTTTCCGTGGCTGTGGGCATGTTCTTCTTCTCCCGGAGTGAGCAGACGCCCCGAATCAGAATGAATGGGGTTCCCGAAATTTGGAATGTTGCCGATTCATGCTTACAGCTTGCATGAACAAGCTGTGACAGTTGGCAGGGAAGCTGTCGAGGGCATCCTTGGAAATTCTACTCGTCCCGTTATCCTCCTCCACCTTTTTCCTTCCTCCACCGCCGCCTTTCTCCTCTTCCCTTATTGTCTTTTCGTTCCTCTTCGTCCGATTCCTTTTACTCCTCCATTTCCTCCCACTCATGCCCCCCCTCTGTTTCCTCGTTTTTCTCCTGGTGCGGTGTGCCACCTACGTAGAACGAGGAAGTGGTCTGGGACTTGCCTCTTCTGCTGTCCTTCGCCTCGGGCGTCTGAGGCAGAACGGCAGATTTCTTTGGCTGTCAAGGTAGGCTTGAGTAATTGCTTCGTCGAGCGCGTGATCATCATTATTCTGTACCCTCGTCATCGCCCTCCTCCTGAGCACTCCCCCTCCTCCCCCCATCTCGCCTTCCCTCTCTCTCTCTCTCTCTCTTCTCTTCTGCTCCTGCTGCTGCTGCTCCTCTACGCCCGTCTACAGTCGGCCCATCAATTCAGGGATCGGCCTGCCGATAGGCGCGCCACAGACATGCCTTATCCCCCGACAGCCCCTTGGGGGCCCGCAGAAGCCTCGAGCCGTCTCGGGGAGCTCAGAGCCCGTCGACAGACAGGCCCTCGGATTTCCTGTAGCGGGACCCCTCACCACGCCCAGCTGCCCATCGTAATACGGTGGGGGCGTTCGTGGAGGACTGTGCCCAGGAGGCTTTCGACCCTGGAGGGTTCCTTGTCTGATGAGGGCGGCGATGATTTCCATGGCCGATCCACGATTCGAGTTCCACCAGCGTCCAGGCCCTGGGCTCCTCATCTGCGAGTTCCCGGTCCAGTGCCCCCACCGTAGCCCGACGCGTGGCCACCTCGGCTCAAGGGGGGGCCTCCTTGCTGGAGCGGTGGCAGCGGCCCCCCGCGAGCGGAGGACCCGGGCCGCCATGGCTCAGCCACGCGCAGAGGGGGGGGGGGAGGGGGGAGGGCTTCTTAGAAGCACCCCTGCTTCTCAGAAGGCGCGGGCCTTCTCTATAGACGTCAGGCTGGCGCCTTCTAAGAAGCAGCCTCCTTCTAAGAAGCCCCCCCCCCCCCCCCACCCCCTTGTGCGCGCCGCCAAACGGCGCTGCTCGAGGCCGCGAGCGCCGGCCACGCGGAGGCCTGCCGCGCGCTGCTCGACGGCGCCGCGGGGCGCGTGCTGCAGCAGGCGCGGCGGGCCGACGACGGCGGCACCGCGCTGCACTGCGCCGCGCAGGCGGGCAGCGCGGCCGCGTGCACGGCGCTCCTGGAGCTCCGGGGCGGCCGAAAGCGACCCCCAGCAGGCCACCCCTCGGGGGAGGAAAGGGTACCCATACTCAAGGGCATAAAAGGCGCCCCTACCCTGGTTTACGAGGCGCTGTGCGCTGAAACTCTTGTGGGCTGACAGGGTAAACCCTGCGTGATGTGCCGCGTCCTGGCGGCTCTAGGCTTTGGGGGTTCCCAGGAGGTTTACAGACCACGCACTTGTAACCCAGGGTACATCCCTCAACATATCTCTACCCTTCCCTCGTTTTGCCCCCTTTCTGGGCTTCCTGGGAGGATCTCGTCGCCACCGCCGGATTCGCGTCGAAATCCTGGCCAGAACGCACCCCCCAGGAGGGGTCCGGGGAGTGCAGCGGTATCGGTGCCTTTTGGTGGCCCCAATCCCCCTCCGCGACGTGCCCCTCGCCTCGCCCCAAGATGTGTGCACGCGGCCGGAAGGAAGCTTGAGAGGATGGCGTCACGAACGAGGACGGCTTGCTAGAGGTCTGTTGGGCCGCGCCCGAGGAGCACCCCTTCGCGCGCCGCGAGCTGGCCGGGGCCCTGGACTGGCGCGGGCGCACGCCGCTGCACGTGGCCGCGGCGGCGGGGCACGCGGAGGCCTGCCAGCTGCTGCTGGACCACCCCCTGTTCCGAGGCGGGCACCTCCGCGAGCAGGACTCCTGGAAGAGAAGGGGGCCCCGAACCCCAAGAACACGAGGAAGGCGCAGCCTCGCTGAGGTCCCCGTCCTCGCCTTCGGGGTGATGGTTCTGGGGCGGTGCGCCTCGATACGCCCGCAGGAAGGACCCCCCTGCCCCTATGATGTTCCTGGCCCTCCCACCTCAGGCCCCCTCCCAAAGGGTTAGGGGTGCTTCTTTTTGGCCGACCAAGGACGGCATGACAGCGCTGCACTGCGCGGCCCTGCACGGCCGGGCGGGCGCCTGCAGGGCGCTGCTGGGGCACCCGCGCTGCCCGCGCGACCTCTGGCGCGCGGTGGACCACTTCGGCCGCTCGGCCAGGTGCCTGGCGCCGGGCGGCGCCTGCGACCGCGCCTTCGTGGAGGCGCTGGGCCCGACGGCGCCGCCGGCGGCCGAGGGCGCCGCCCGCGGCCTGGACGCCATCGCCGAGGAGGCGCGGCGCCTGGCGGAGCTCGCCGGAGCCCTGGAGGCTGCCGCCGCACGGGCCTGCAGCCGCCTCGGGGGGCTGGCGTCCGAGCGCCCGCGGGGCGGGCCGCCGAGCGCGGGCGCCGCGGAGCCCGAGGCGCAGCGCCCGGGCGGCGCGGGGTCGGCCGAGGAGGCGCCCGCGCCGCAGGTGAGAGTGCGGAGGAGGAGGAGGGAGGAGGAGGGGTAGGAGGAGGAGGAGGAGGAGGAGGAGGAGGAGGAGGAGGAGGAGGAGGAGAAGGAGGAGGAGGAGGAGGAGGAGGAGGAGGAGGAGGGAGGAGGAGGAGGAGGGGGGGAGGAGGAGGACAAGCTAGGTGCGCTCGCGTCATATCTGACATCCTACCCCTCCCTCCCATTCCTTACCATGGCGCAGATCCCCTCTCTACTCGCACAGTCGGATGTCGAGCAGGGCAATGATCCCGAAAGGGTATGCGATGCATTGTAGAGCACGGCATGGCATGGCGTAGAAGAGCACCGCAAAGCGTAGTATCAACCTAGCATTGCATTGCATGCCGTGGCATGGCACGGGAAATGACGCCAGCGCTGCAGCGGGAGCACGAGTCGAAACGAGCGGAAGCGCGGAAATAAGGCCAGCGCTGCAGCGGGAGCACGATTCGGAACGAGCGGAAGCACGGAAATGAGGCCAGCGCTGCAGCGGGAGCACGATTCGGAACGAGCGGGGCCCGAAAATGAGGCCGGCGCTTCAGCGAGAGCAGCATTCTGAAAAAAATGCAAGCGAAAATCCAATTCCGGGGAAACCTGTGTGTAAAACAAACAGCACGCGGGGGGGGGGGGGTCGGACACTCCCAGGCCGTCATCAGGGGAAGAGGGAGAGTAGTATTCATATTGAGTAATTGGAGGAGGAGGAGGAGGAGGAGGAGGAGGAGGAGGAGGAGGGGGAGGAGGAGAGGCCGGGGGATTGTGGAGTCGCTGTGGGTTTTAGACGAAAATTTACGATATTTCACTTTGTTCCTCATCATTATGCTGATGTTTCCTTTCTCGTTTTCTCTCTCTCTCTCTCTCAATCTCTCCCACTCCCATTCCCATTCCATTCCCATTCCCAATACCATTACCATTACCATTCCCATCCCAATTCCCATTCCCATTCACATTACCGTTACCATTACCATTACCTTTACCTTTATCTTTACCTTTACCTGTACCATTACCATTACCATTACCATTGCCATTACAATTGCCAGTGCCATTACCATTGCCATTACAATTGCCATTATCATTGCCATTGCCAGTGCCGTTGCCATTGCCATGGTATTGCCACTGCCAGTAGCCACCACGTTACCATTACCGTTACCATTACCATTACCATTCCCATTACCACTACCATTCGCCACCACCATTACCATTGCCATTATCATGAGCATTACCAACACAATTGCCATTACCATTACCATTACCGCTGCCATCACCATTACAATTCCCATTCCCATCATCATTGCCATTACCATTACCGTTACCAGTACCATTTCCATTACCATTGCCATTATCTTTCCCACTACCACTACCATTTCCATTCCCGTTCCCGTTCCAATTACTACTACGATTCCCATTACCATTACCATTACCATGACCATTACCATTGCCATGGCCATTTCTATTGCCATTGCCGTTGCCGTTGCCATTCCCATTACCATTGCCAATCGCTACCCCGTTACCATTGCCATAAGCATTACCATTACCGTTATCGTCACCATTACCATTCCCAGTACCATTATCATTACCACTGTCATTGCCATTACCATTACCATTGCCATTGCCATTGCCATTCGCCACTACCATTACCATTGCCATTCGCCACTACCATTACCATTACCATTGCCATTGCCATTGCCCTTCGCCACTACCATTACCGTTGCCAGTACCATTACCATTCCGATTAACATTCCCATTCCCAATACCATTACCATTACCATTACCATTACAACTGCCATTACCATTACCATTACCTTTACCTCTACCTTTACATTTACCCTTACCCTTACCATTCCCATTTCCGTTACCACTACCACTGCCATTTCCATGCCCGTTCCCATTCCCATTCCCATTCACATTCCCATTTCCGTTACCACTACCATTGCCATTTCCATGCCCGTTCCCATTCCCATTCACATTCCCATTCCTGTTCCCATTCCCATTCACATTACCATTGCCATTACCATTACCATTGCCATTGCCATGGCCATTACCATTGCCATTGCCATTGCCATTGCCATTACCGTTGCCGTTGTCATTGTCATTGCCATTGCCAGTCGCCACCCCGTTACCACTATCATTACCGTTACCATTACCAGTACCATTACCATTACCTCTGTCATTACCATTACCATTCGCATTGCCATTGCCATTGCCATTAGCCACTGCCATTACCATTGCCAATACCATTTCCATTGCCATTCCCATTAGCATGACCATTACCATTACCATTACCATTATCACTATCATTACCATTACCTTTACCATTACCTCTACCTTTACCTTTACCCTTACCCTTACCCTTATCGTTCCCGTTTCCGTTACCACTACCACTACCATTTCCATTCCCGTTCCCGTTCTTATTCCCATTCACATTCCCATCCCCGTTCCCATTGCCATTGCCATTACCATTACACTTACCATTGCCATTGCCATGGCCATTATCATTGTCATTGCCATTGCCAATCTCATTGCCATTGTCATTACCATTACCGTTGCCATTGTCATTGCCATTGCCAATCGCTACCCCCTTACCATTACCAGTACCGTTACCATTACCAGTACCATTGCCATTACCTCTGTCATTACCATTACCATTACCATCACCATTGCCATTGCCACTCGTCACTACCATTACCATTGCCAGTACCATTTCCACTCCCATTCCCATTACCATGATACTACCGCTGCCATTACTATTAGAATTCCCATTCTCATTCCCATTCCCCATACTATTACAATTTCCAGAACCATTACCAGTGCCATTGCCATTACCACTACCACTATCATTTCCATTCCCGTTCCCGTTCCCATTCCCACTTCCATTCCCATTACCATTACCATTACCATTACCACTGCCATTGCCAGTACCATTACCATTACCATTACCTTTACCTCTACCTTTACCTTTACCCTTACCCTGATCATTCCCATGTCCGTTACCACTACCACTACCATTTCCATTCCCGTTCCCGTTCCTATTCCCATTCACATTCCCATTCCCTTTCCTATTCCCATTACCATTGCCATTCTCATTACACTTACCATTGCCATTGCCATGGCCACTATCATTGTCATTGCCATTGCCAATCTCATTGCCATTGTCATTACCATTACCGTTGCCATTGTCATTGCCATTGCCAATCGCTACCCCCTTACCATTACCAGTACCGTTACCATTACCAGTACCAGTACCATTACCTCTGTCATTACCATTACCATCACCATTGCCATTGCCATTCGTCACTACCATTACCATTGCCAGTACCATTTCCACTCCCATTCCCATTACCATGGTACTACCGCTGCCATTACCATTAGAATTCCCATTCTCATTCCCATTCCCAATACTATTACAATTTCCAGAACCATTACCATTACCATTACCAGTGCCATTACCATTGCCACTACCACCATCATTTCCATTCCCGTTCCCGTTCCCATTCCCACTTCCATTCCCATTACCATTACCGTTACCATTGCCATTGCCAGTACCATTACCATTACCATTACCATTACCATTACCTTCAACTCTACCTTTACCCTTACCATTACCATTGCCATGGCCATTACCATTGCCATTGCCATTGTCATTGCCATTCCCATTGCCATTGCCATTCACATTACCATTACCATTACCGTTGCCATTGCCATTGTCATTGCCTCGCTACCCCGTTACCACTATCATTACCGTAACCATTACCAGTACCATCACCAGTACCATTACCATTACCATTACCGTTGCCATTGCCATTGCCATTGCCATTCGAGGATTTCAGTAGGAATCATTCAGTGGAGGGTTTCAGTAGGAATCCACATGTGGAGGATTTCGGTAGTCATCATTCAGTGGAGGGTTTCGATAGGAACCCTTATGTCGAGGATTTTACTGTGAATCCTTCTGATGGGGGCGTTCAATAGGAATCCTTCTAGGGGGGAGGGCAGATGTGGTCACGTCGCATTCCTTTTTTTTCTCCTGGCGCCCCCCCCCCCCCAGAAAAAATATATCAAAAAACAAACTGATAATGTTTGTTTTGGTTTTTTTTTCTGGGGGGGGGGCGCCTGGAGAAAAAAAAAGGCAGAGAGGTAGCAGGAGGGGGAGAGGGAGGAGGAGGAGGAGGAGGAGGAGGAGGAGGAGGAGGAGGAGGAGGAGGAGGAGGGGGCGGAGGAGGAGGAGGAGGAGGACGACACAGACCAGAGTTTGCACAGAAACAGTCGCGAACTCAGCGCGAAACCCTCGCGCGCGCGCTTTTGAACCCCTGCGACTCCACAATCCCCCGTTCTCGAGGAGGAGGGGGAGGAGGAGTGGGAGGAGGGGGAGGAGGGGGAGAAGGAGGAGGAGGGGGAGGTACCGACATCGCTGACCTTCCACTGCTGTCGCCCTGTCGGGCCTCCTGAGAGAGAGAGAGAGAGAGAGAGAGAGAGACCCCTCGTTGCCATGGCCCATGGCTTGCTTCGCCTCGAAATCTCGGTCGCAGAGCGCACCCCGGAAGAGGTCAGGGGAGCAGCGGTGTCGGTACTTGTTTGAGGCAGCTTTCTTTCATATTCTGGCATGTTCACTACCATGGAGGGGGGGGGGCGTGGCGATGCCCACAAGGAAATCTGGGCTTCGCGCAAGTCGGGATTTACTTATACGCCTTTTCGGACCAGCGCCGCTTGAAATGGCGGCGGAGGCGGGGGTGGATGCCCTGTAAGTGAACTCGCCAGGACAACCCCCATAGGTTTTTATAATCCCCCTCCAATAGTAAACCTAATTCTCTTTTCGGAGCCCTTATTGACGGCTACAACGCCGACGACGACGACGACAACTACGAT